TGTAAAAGCAAGATCAGTGATAAAATAAATAAAATTGTACACTAGCAACATTTAAACAAACAGTGATTTTCCTGAATTTTGTATTTAAAACCTAATTCTTGATTGTACAAATGTAATTGTTGAAAAATCCCTACTGAGTAAAAGAGCTTGCTGGTCAATGTTGAAAGTACAAACATATACCCTCAATATTCATACCACAAAAGTAAGCCAACATATTGGTTAGCAAAGGGGATGACAAGGGTTTAAGTCTTTTGTGGCTTGTTTCTTTCTTTTCAACAATTAATTCCTGACAGACATAATAGACAATGCACAATATGTACACCTGTCAATCTTTCTGTGTGTTGTATTCTGATTGGTTGAAATTGATCAGCATTAGCTACTAATTGGCCACGCCCCTCGTCAGCCGATCCAATCAAACATGAAAGCTGATCTACGTCTTTTACCAAAATGGAACTTCAGAGGAAATACTTACCTTTGTAAGCGCCAAGCCGGAAACCAACAGTGTTATCTGTCAATGAAAATAAGAAGACATGATACTGAAACTATTGCACAATTTATCCAGGGCCAAGTTTCATGAAGACCTGACAAAAAAAATTAGGGGAATAACTGAGAAAAAATCCTGGAACTTTCTGTTCAGCTTTCATAACAGGTGCATTAAGTACATGTGTGCACACTTTATATCCAGCGAGGGGGTACTTGTGAACGGAGTGCATACACACAAAAAATGAAGAAATTGCATAAATAAAAATAAATGCCAGTTTCACTCACCGATGCCATCTACACTCTTGCCGATGGTAAACTCACACTTGTTGCGATAGCTCTCTAATACTGGCTGTGAGTGTGCAAACAAACAATGACAATGAAAGGAACAAATCAGACATCTCCAATGTCAGGAATATTTACCCCACAAAAGATTCACATGCTGTAGAGTTTATCTAACAAGAAATCCAGGTTGAAATATAAATTTAGTACAAGTAAGGTGACTCTATCTATCTACCCAAGTTCAAAGATCACACCAGTCAAGCTAACCTAACACTATGTGCCAATGTGAACTATCATTGAGATTATAATTCATAAAATCATTCACAATACTACAAATAAATTTAAATAAAATCTATATTTTTATCAACAAATATTTGTCACCTAGCTTACTCACCGATGTCTTAATTGGCTCCAACTCACATGCCATCCTACTGTGGTTCTTCCTGTCAATCAAATGAAGAGTGTGCTATTAAACATGCGGGTGTGGGTTCGAATCCCACTCCAACAGGCTTGTGAATTTCTTGTGGTAACCAAAGCTATATATGCACAAGATTCAAACTGGCCCACTAACCTTTGCAAGCTCTGTTATTGAGTGGTTAAGATGTCTGCACTAGTACGCAGGAGGTCATGGGTTCATATCCCACCCAAGCAAGCTGGCAGAATCTTTGCTCGTAAGCTCTCAGACAGCACTGAATATACAGTGCATTCAAATTTACATTGGTGAAGGTCAAAACCAAGTATTCACATTCACAACTCCCCTACGTAAACAATTAATTAAACTCATTGATTGTGGCACTTGCTATATCAGATTGGGACCAGCCAGCCAACCCCAGCAAGCCTGATGGTCAAGTAGTTGAGACATCTGCACTAGGAAGCAGGAGATTGTTGGTGCGAGTCTCACTCGAGCAGCTTATGAATTGTGAAGTTTTGGTTTTGTGTTCATTTTTTTGTTTTTTGTTGTAAACATTTTTATTTAACAAACTCCCCCCCCCCTTATAATCTTTGGGACTTTTGTGTGTGGAAAGGAAGTTCATTTCAGAAATTGGCTAAACTTTGCTGAGTTTTAACTGATTCTCAAGAAAAATGAGGCATCATTTTCTGAACGTTTAAAGAAATTTCAGGGCAGCTGTAAATATACATGTAAGTCCACTTGCCAGAAAACTGTTTTAAAACATTTTTTTATCAACGAAGATCACATTTCCATTCTGGCCCACAACCATCCTGTGTCTTTGGTGAGTAGCTCACCTTTTTTGCTTCAGCCAGGGAGACATCTCCCCCATCTTGGATAAATTCCTTTAGAAACTCCCTGGTGTTGGTCTGTTTGGTGGATAGCTGGTCCTCATATGGCTGGTTCCACAGTGCAGTCACCATGTTGTTAACCTGTAGATTGGAAAAAGATGTGAAAAGCACATTCAGTATTTCAGAGTCTTAACAATTTTGAAAAAAGTGAATAGCTCAACTGCTCTAAGCCTTTTTCGATATATGGCAGACCCAATACAAGGGTGTTATTTGATTTGGGTATATTGGGGTAACTTACGAAAAAGACTAGACCCAAACCAAATAGCGCCCTCGTATTGTGTCCACCATATCTCCAAAGGGTAATGGATTGTGTGTGGAACTTGTCATCTTTCTACATACAACCATTCTCCTAACTACAGTTCATAGTTCTGGTAGTGCATGAGCAAATTAAAGATTAAGCTTGAAACAATGAGGGTAATGTGTTCAACTTAGACAGTTTATCAGATAAAATAAGAACCATCTGAAACTGTGAATCGCACACACACTCTACACAGACATGCAACCTTTAATGCTGTACCTTCTAGGGAAAAAACAAGGAAAACTGTCCACATAACAGTTTTGCTCAACAAATGCCAGATGAGGTACTGAATTTACTTAAAGTTCCGTGCTTTTTCGAGTTTCATCCCGAAAAACAGATTTCTTTACCAATCTGCTATTTTTCAAGCAATACAAAAGTTATTCACTTTTGAATGAAACACCAAACACAAAAAAGCTCACGTTCAGTTATTGAATTATTACTTTACAATTCCAAATTATTGGCTGCCAAACATAATTTCTGTTCTTGCTGGATAGGCTGGTTAACCCCCCCCCCCCCCCACAATCAGTATCAATAATGTACAGACGGGAGCCAATCTGTTGGCAAAGCTGGTCATCAGTTTGGGGCAAGAACAAAAAGAAAAGTTCACGGGTACTTTCTTAGTATAACATTTGATAGCAGAAGTCTAAGTACACTTTCAATTTCAAGCAAAAGAGTGTAGGAATTCCATGGTTTCAAATCTTTGTTGATGCAGTGACTATTTGTATCTGTATTTTAAATGTCTTTCTTGATTATCCAAACACCAAATCTAAAGCTTGTGCCAAGTTTCTATAAGTGAGATATAAATAAATATGTTGTAAGCAAAATGTAGTGATCGACCTGAAAGATTTTGTGTCATTTTTTGATCTGCATCTAATTTATTCAGTTATAGATAATTCAAGCGTTACGTTATGTCTGTGATCTTTTATGAGCTGTAAAACTCTACATGTAAAAAGTGCAGAGTGCCATTTCACTTTTTTTTTAAGTAACCTAGATATGAGCAAAACCTTAGTGACAGATTACACCATGTACATGTAAAAAAGTCTTGAAGAGAAAATAAAAAGTTATTCTGAAGCACATCTTTGCCAAAGTCAACTGTGAAACTCTATTGTCTACTTTGGTTTAGTATGCATTCAAAACAAGGAACAAAGAACTAATCCTTACAAATCTTAGAGATAAAAAAACACTAAGGGGAAAAAATGCAGAAGCTTTTTGTTTCAACTACACATTACTCCAGGTCTTATATTCGCTGTTAGTATAAAACTGGAGTGATCTTGAAATAGGACAGAACACTCTTTGCTACATCTGAATAAAATGTTGGATATGGAGAACGATGAAGTTGAAAAGCACCTTGAGAACTTTATCAAGACTCACAAAAGAAATGAACAAATACTATGGTTAAGTACTGAAATCAATGCACCAATCGGCCTCCTCTTAAACTTGGTCTTTCTCTTCACAGTCATTCGAGTGAAGTCAATGTGTACAATCATCAACATCTACTTATCCAATCTGGCTGTGGCTGACTTGCTCTTCCTTATGACTCAATGTATATTTGTATTGTGTTCATCCGAAGTGTACAAAGCATTCCAGAGTGTCAAATAAATCCCGGGACATACCGTTATTTCGTTTTACGGTTTTGGATTTCCTCAAAAACAAAAACAGTAAGCGAACCATTGACTGTTTTGTCGTTTTACAGTTTTATAAAACGACAAACGGTATTAATATCAATACGGTTTCTCCGTTTTATAAGTTTAGTAAAATTCATTATAGCATAACGATCGATTATTTTTGTTTTACACAAATAACTTTGAAAAACAGCAAAACGGTCAGTATTGAATACACACTGTTTTTTTATTTTAGTGTCATAGTTAACAGTCCGTGGTGCATTTTGTGGCGGTGGGCAGGGGGGTGGAGGGGGACCCTGCTTTACACGAGTGTTGGCTCAGCATAATTAATGCGTGGTGTGATTCCTGGCGCGGACCCTGACCCCCTTCTCATGCGATTCAGTTGGTGGGGCTTAAAGAGTTGCAAGCAAAAATGGCGCTGGAAAACTGCAAGGGAGGGCATTACTTTTCACAATGGATACAGGATGGTAAGACGTTTGATGAAGTTGCAGATATTTTGAAGGAAATTGGAGTTTAAGTCGACGCGGCTCTTCAATAGTTAATTCGCAAATTATGTCGTGAGAACGAAAATGTAAGGAGGGCCCAGGCAATGACTCAATCCCAAGGACGCATTAACATTCCTAGGTGCATTGCTTAATTGCCGAACCTAAATCCAAAAAATGGTCGGCAAGACTATTGACCGTTTTGTCATTGTCATGATTTTGTAAAACAACACTCTAAAAATAAAGCAACTAGCCGTTTAACGCTTTCTACAATAAAAAACAACAACAAAAAGGAATTTTTTGTGTGTGACTTAATACCGTTTTACAAAACTGTAAAACTGTAAAATGACAAAACGGTCAATAGTTCGTTCACGAATTTTTGAGGAAATCCAAAATGGTAAAACAAAATAACGGTATGTCCTGGGATTCAAGTACATGTTTGTTGCTGTTTCTAGTTATTTTGTAGTGATCATAGCAGCTGAGAGAAAAGTTCAATAACGAATAGTGTCTAACATTAAATGAATTAAATAAAATTACCTCAGAGCAAATATGCAGTCCGATCCTATGCCCCCTGTCTGTCTGGCCTCAACTCCGTTCTCAAAGCTGTTAATGAAATAAAATGAAATCAATAAACATTTCACTGAGATCAGTGCACGTGGCCCCCAGACGATAAATGCATGGTATAGGAAACAGCCGTCGCATTTGCAACTCGCGCCCTCGCTAGACAAGCAATTTGCATAAACGCGACGTCACAGCTTGAGGTCATCTCTTGTCACATTCAAAATGGCTGCCATCACCAGACGTTTCACGAGTGCATATGGGCTCCAGAAAGATTCAAGAATATCTCATAAAATTGAACATCATTACACCTAAGCATCCCAGAAGTGATAGATGGGACATCATAGAATACAACCATATGTAAGAAACGGACCGTCATTTTTATGAAAACGCCCTCAGTAGTGTGCGGTACCACGGTGTGTGGCCAGAGGTTCAGCGCAGCATACCGCGGCCACACTAGTGGGGCTAAAGTGAAGTATGACTGTACAATTATTGAGCTATAAAAAGACTTAAGTCTTGCCCAACAATGTATGCAAAGCAATTAAAAAAGAATACCCCAGAAAGATTCCCATACCTGGACACATCACTCTGTCAAATTGTCTTGTCAACAAAGTCTAGTGCCGTTTTTTCAGTAGGCAATGCATTGGAAGGCTAGGCCTAGGACCTGTGAACGTTTACGCGTCTATGTCTACCGGCAGGTTAAATGCTTCTAATCTGTCTTTGTTTTGTTTTTTAGGTCTTTTTTAGTGAGTATTTTTTTTCGTATGGAGTTCAAATCTCCCCCTCTTGCACAAAGCTGATGAAACTCACTCCATAAAATGTTATGCCTTGTTTACATGATCTGAAATTTCGGTTTAACTTCATTGGTAAACAACAGAGTTATTTAGGGTCAAAAGTAGGACATGGTTTTTTGACACGAGGTTGAAACTAACTGGAAAGTAAAGATTTAATTCTTACCTTGATGACATTAAGAATGTTGACGATTTCCCCATTATCATCTATACCGACGTCAAATTCTGCAAGATTTAGTAAAAATGCAAAATTTTCAATTATGCCATCAAAGATGCACAGATTTGAAATGGGACATTTTCATAGAATTTGTTTAAAGACGTGTTTCCCGTGCTACTTTTGAGTTTACCTCGACAAATAGATTTGTTTTTTATTGAATTCACTTTTTGTGACATCTACTGAAAAAAATCCACATACGTTTATAGATATTGAATGATTTCTTTCCAAAAATTGAATTATCGGCCGTCAGACAATAATTCTGCTCTCGCAAAGCCGGTTCTTGTGCCCAAAATGAAAGCCCTTATTCAGTGAGTTGAGATGCCTAAAATCAGAATAAAATACTTTTGGTTCAAAACAAAACAATTTAAAATTGGTAAGGAGAAAAAAAACTCTAATTATTAAGAGCATTGGGTATATCACCTTTATGCAAGTTGCATCAATCACGGGACAAAACGAATACATGTTGCTGAATGCATGATGACTTTGAAGCGCACAAGTTTTCGATGGATGTGCATTACTCAAAAACGCGTGCTCTTTTTGCCTTATGAAATTGGCGCAAATTAACAGTAAAAGTACTTAAAGTTGAACGCAAGGTGTGTATACGTAAAACAAGCTTATGCACACATGTCACTGAAATTGTTGTTTTGGATTCTGCTAGTAAATGTAGGTAAAGGAAAAATCTGCAAAAGAGAAAAAAAGCAAATATTTGTCTACCTGGGGCTAGGTACATGTATTTACTCAGCTGGTTCTGTAGTTTCAGATCCATGTTACAGCCGGAGGACCGACCGCCAGCCAGATTCAAGTTGGACTGAGTTAGGTCAACATCATTTTCTGAGGAAATAAAATAATTATTTATTCACCTAGGGCTAAACCTATGAAATCCATTTACTAGGCCTATTACCAAGTTTGAAATTTGATGCAGAAAATTCAATTGTACCAGTACTGTATTTAAGTGGGGTGGAACTAAGCCTTACTTGTATATCCATTCAACAGAATTTGTTTTAGGAGAGGGCATATGAAATAATAACGCCATGGCAATAAGGTGTTTCATGGTAATGTGCACTATCTTATTCGCGGGGCACAAAGAACACACGTTGCTAGACGCGGGTGCACTTTGGATTGACCGCATGTTGACTTGGAAGCGCCAAAACTTTCCAATGACGATGTGTACACAGAACGCGTGTAAAATTGCCCAGCGGGGAAGATGGCGCATATTACCGTGAAACACTTTATCGTTACGACAGACGTAACATGACTTTCAACTGCTATCGTTACAAAACTGTCTGGTTTCCTGACATAGTTGACCTTTTGTGGTAGAATCGCATCAACGCAGCTTGTGAAATATTGTCCAATTACATGATATACAGATGGATGAGGAACGCGCAAAATCTGAGACAATAATACTTAGTGTACACAAATTCTGTAGGGTTGTGAAGGGGCGTGGCTAACTTGCAAACGGCGATAGGTCAATACAGTATTCAAGGTCACGATCTTTGGCTGTTGGAATCGACAAAATGGTTCTATGACTTTATTTCCCTATTTCAACAAATCCTCCAATTTTTAAGAAAGAAAATGAAATCTACTTAAATAAACAGAAAAATTTGATTTAAACCTGAAACTTAAGATCTCTATAACATTTTTTTTTCAAATTCCGTAACGATAGTATTTGAAAATCTCATTACGGCTGTCGTAACAATAGCCACTACGATTTTACAAAGTTAACTAAATGGAGATTAATAAAAGGTTTGACTTCTGCTTACGCTTCTGAGGCTAAACCGCCTCAGAGTCTGTGGTCACCAACTGCACCAGGATACAACTGTGGCATTTCAGAATTGGCTGTTTTTGCACTGGTTTTGAAGGCTCAGTGCACCAATGTCCCACAGATGTTTGCACCTGATGCACTGTGTTGCATCTGACAGGGTTAGGGTTCACAAGGGGATAAAAGTTCTACGCAAATAAAATAAACTCGGTGATGAAGTTTAGTTCTACTGACATATCAGGAGGTACAGTAGAAATCTACTGCCTGGAAGCTGTGGTGACTGGGTATAAATGAGAAAACATAGGCTGCTGTTTTTTACCATTTGAGCCAAGAAACATTCGGATGCCAGCTTCCTGAAGACAGGGATGAGGTCGACAAATGTGGACGTGCCGTCACAGAGGGGTGGGGGTAAGGATTGACGATACTGATGGCCCAGCGTCAGCAGGTGATGGGCGATGTACATGCAGTTGTTGTGGTGGAGTGGGCACACCTGAGGTAGCTTTTGCTGTTTCACAAGAAAAATTTGCAAAAATAATATAAAAGTCAAGATTTTTGTAAAGAAATTTTAAGACAATATCAACATTACTTTGGTTGTTGATTTCATCCTTGCTTTAACAAGTTCACGCTGAGATTATTTTGACAAGAACGGAACGAGGCGTGGGATATATTTTTACTCGACCTCAAGCCAAGCGGGTTGAAGCCATCACCCTCGGGCAGCACACTCATATTTCCAGCCTTGCTTGCTGCGAGTGGGCCGCTGACAGATATTTCCGGACTCTCTCCCTGCGTGTTTATCTGTCATCGGTTCGGAGTACCCAAAACTTTTGCGTGTATACACGGCCTCTTGGGCAAACTGGTTAAAGCAGGCATGCAATTTTTCCTTGGATCCACTGATTTCCTCGTTATTTACTTCTCATGAATAATTATAATAATGCCATTACAAATTGAAAAACACTGAACAAAGTCGTGTGTGGTTTGGAATTTCCTCGTTTTTTTCAAAATTCCCAGTTGCATGCCTGTTAAAGGTACATGGAAACATTTGCTTCTGTGCATTTTTTTTTTGGCTCAACAAGCAGACGACAGTGAAATACCAGATGACTGTTCGAAAAAGTCCAGAAGTTGACTCACCAGACTATCTCTGTGGTATGTGGGTACGACATCGCAAAATATCTCAAACATGTTTCGCACTGTGTAGAACAGTTGGATGGCACTGCAAACATAAAAATAAGACATTTTCAGGAATCCTTTAGTTGAATATTGTGTACATTGACCTATAAAATGTTCAACACATTTCAATTTGCATGGAAAAAAAGGCACTTTTGCTTTTTCACATGATATGGGACAATTTCCAACACAGGGGAGTGTGGCAAAGTGGTTTGGGTTCGTGACTCTTGATCAGAGGCTCAGAGGTTTGAATCCAGCTGCTGGCCATATGTTGTGTCCTTGGGCAAGCCACATCACCCTCACTTGCCTCTCTCCACCCAGGATGTAAATGGGTACTAGCATTAGCTGGGGAGTAACCTGCGACCGGCTAGCATCCCATTCAGGGGGAGTAGAAATATGGAATCATTTCATACCAAGGAAACCATAGATAACAGCTGGCCCGATGGGCCATATTGGCTCACGACAGACTTTACTTTACTATGGTGAGAATAGCATAAACACATCACATCAGGCAGTTGGCATGGGTGGCGCAGTGCGTGAAGCACTTGCCTCTCACTGCTGTGGCCTGGGTTCGATTCCCGGATCGGGTAATATGCGAGTAGAGTTGTTAATTAATTCTCTCCTGTGCCACGAGGGTCATACGATGGCTGCTTGAGGCGCTTGTACATAACATGCCTTCGGCTCAACCACGTTGTAGCCGTGTCCTTTACAATTCAGCTTCGGTTGCGTGTAAGGATGATTAGCCCCCTAAATTAATCTATGTCCAACTCACCATTGTGGTGTGTTACTACCAGCTTCTTGTAATGTCTGGTAGGCTAGATTAACAAGACACCCTATGCTTTCACTGACTGCACACTCAGGCAGTGCAAAGATACCCTCGCTGACGTGGCACTTGTCCTGAAAGAAGTAAAAAAAAATTACATTGCAAGTGTCCATAAGTGAAATTTCATATTTAATACGATAAGTTCATTTAACACATTTCAACAATAAATATTTCAATTAATGTTTTAAACTTGCAAGAACTCTTAAAGGCTGATTAGAATGACAAAATCATATCCAGTTTAGTCTTGAAGCGCACAATTTCCAACAAATTCGAACCTTGGCATCTTGTGTTTGATCTTTGACGTCCTTGTTGTCAACCTTCATTGTACCGACTCTCTTTGTATTGTGCAGCTCTCTCTTCATCAGCTTGCCGGCTTCAACTATCAGCTCTTGACACTTTCCAAAAATAAAATAAACCGAACATAAAAAAATGTCAGGGATGGAGTCAAGTACATCACAAGTCCAGTCACAAGTCCAGTCACAAGTCCAGTCACAAGACCAGTCACAAGTCCAGTCACAAGTCCAGTCACAAGTCCAGTCACAAGTCCAGTCACAAGGCCAGTCACAAGTCCAGTCACAAGTCCAGTCACAAGTCCAGTCACAAGTCCAGTCACAAGTCCAGTCACAAGTCCAGTCACAAGTCCAGTCACAAGTCCAGTCACAAGACCAGTCACAAGTCCAGTCACAAGTCCAGTCACAAGTCCAGTCACAAGGCCAGTCACAAGTCCAGTCACAAGTCCAGTCACAAGTCCAGTCACAAGTCCAGTCACAAGTCCAGTCACAAGTCCAGTCACAAGTCCAGTCACAAGTAACAGTGGGTGAACAATAAAGGAATGCCTTTGTCAAAACTCTTGTGAATTGCTTGTGGGTTGAATTGGGACTGGAGGACTTGTGATGGACTGGACTACATCCATGAACAAAAGTTTGAAGAAGAGGTTAAAAATTGATGAAGATTCAAAATATGCAGAATATGGTGGATTGTGTTTAAGTCCACTCTGGGAAAATTTACAAAAAGTTTTCATCATAGGCTTTCGAGAGACTAGAATGTCCTTGTCATGAAGGCAAAAACGCTTTTCACCCCAAAGTTCAGAGCAGTTTATTGATGCATTCCACAATAATTGTGTCACCCTCCAGCACAAAACCAGAGCCAATTTTTGAAAACCAGGATTTTGAGATTATTGGAAAGGACATTAAATGAACTTTCCAATGATGTATAGAATATGGGAATCGGACAAAATCTGACGGAGCTATTGATTTTTTCAGTTCCCAAATATCATCAACATTCTATGTATTACAGGTTGTATTTCAAAATACGACCGTACAATTTCCGACTGGTTTGCTGGAGGGTCATATGTGAATGAGATGAACCAAAGATTCAGAAGGGACCAAACAGTCCAACTGTTGCCATTCAAGAAATGTTCCCACAAGATTTTTAAAAATAATAGACATTAAAAAAAATATATTGTTTATACCTTTTTGTTAGCAAAATGGACATTGACATCTCTGGCGTAGGTCAGTAGCGAAGAAGCAGTTTCTGCAATAAACCCTGGAAAAGAAAGATCTCTTTAATAAGAAACTTTCACCGACACTTGTTTGATCAGAAACAGAAAGATCTCTTACAATTAAAGGCAGAGTAGATCATGTGAAAGTAAGAGTTGAGGCTTTGCATGGTGGAGATGAATGAAAGGTTTACGGAAACACCATGTGGGAATATATTTCTCAAACTAAAGTGAATGGTTCTGGAAAGAACCAGATGTATAAACTCAACGTTCTGGTCAGTGTGCTCTGACCATTCTCTTTAGTTTGAGAAACTTATTCCCACAAGGTGTTTCCGCAAACCTTTCATTCATAAGAACATTTGCAATTTGCTTCATTTGAAACAACAAAAGTGCTCAAAATCTATAGACAGATGCTTTACAACTGACCTGATGAAGTTTTAGCTCTGTGAATGCTGTATATTTCGAGAAATCAATATTCTAGGATCTTCATTTCAATTCAAAAGTTGCCCATTCATATTTTGAATTGCACCCGAAATCAGTATCCGGGACACATTCTCATTCAGCTGATTGCAGCTATGAGATGTCGCGCAACTGAACCTGACGAGTAATAGCAACAACGCGCGAGCGTGTGCGTGTTACAAACCAACTACAAACACAACTACAAACCAACTGGCCTCGTGGTTAAGGGCACTGATTCGTGGTCTGTGGGTAAAGCTGCAGGTCGTGGGTTCGAGTCCTGGCGGGGTCATGGTGCGTGTGTCCTTGAGCAAGGCACTTTGTCACTCATTGCTTCTCTCCACCCAGGAGTAAATGGGTACATGTGAGGGCAGAGACGGTTATTGTGATTGAATTAGCTTCCTTGCGCCTAACAGGCAGCATCGAGCTGTATACTCCCCAGGGAGCTGAGATGGTATATGGAATGTTTAATTGGCCCAATGATTAGGGGTAATAATAATGTAAAGCGCTTTGATCTTAGTTAAAAGCGCTATATAAGAACCTGTTATTATTATTATTATTACAAACGGAAATTTCCAAAAATGCGTCACTTGACTCATCTTTGGAAATGACCTTCTTATATTGTTTTCTTCAAAATGACAGCATGCCAGAAAGAATAATTTCACAGGGAGTTTAGTGCTATTATTATCTTTAAACCAAGTATGCTTTTCAACAATAATTTGGTCAATAAATGTTGTCACAAAATATAGACAAAATCGGGGAAAAGAATAAAAGGAAGAAAAAAAAATTCTTAGGAAAAAAACAAAAGCTGTTTCCAATTTGCTAATGAGATTGTCCCTACCTAGCATAGCCATCAGCGTAGTGTTCTCATCTCCGTTTTTACCCTCTGTCTTGAGGCTAAGTAACGGCCCGCTCAGTGCTTTCAGTATTGCCAGTGTGCTCTTGTATACAGCTACGGGATTGGACGCTTCCTCAGAGCTCTTGGGTAGCACCTTGAATCCAACGGTGGTTGACTGCGACTGCAAAGAAGATGTTAACACATTCATTCACTAAACGCACAAAAAAAGGTTTTGCTGAGGAGTGCTGTGGCCTTGTGGTCTGGAGCATTGAATTCGTGGTCTTAGGGTAATTCTGCAGGTTGTGGATTCGAGTCCAGCCTGTGGTTATGGTGCGTGCGCCCTTGAGCAAGGCACTTTGTCACTCATTGTTTCTCTCCACCCAGGAGTAAATGGGTACCTCTGAGGGCAGAGGTAATTATTGTGATTGAATTAGCTGCTTTACCCGAAACTGCAGCATGGAGCTACACACTCCCCAGGGAGCTGAGATTGTCTTTGGAATGTTTCATTGGCCCAATGAGCAGGGTAATAATGATGTAGCACTTTAAAACTACAAGCTGTTATTAGGAACAACAAGTTATCAGTCAAAATGTCATTGCCTGGACTGTTTCCCAGCTGATTTTTCGCTTACCAAAAATAATTGCTAAGCAATGTTTTCTGCTAATAATAGCAGCTCTAAGAAATTTGTCTTCGTGCTTAACATGTTATTCTCTGCTAACAGAGGATGTGTCCATCACAGGGAGATCATAAGCAGTCAGTGCAGCAAAGAGCTTACAATTTATGGGACAGCATTTTCTTAAATTGTGACGCAACAATAGGAAGCATCAGCAAATCTATTCAATGAGGCGTTGTATACTAAGTTAGCACAATTTTCCAATAATCAAAATAGTTTTAATAGTGGGTATTTATAAAGCGCCTGATCCACCAGGCCCGGTGCTCAAGGCGCTACATCATTATTACCCCTGCTCATTGGGCCAGTGAAATATTCCAGTATCATCTCAGTTCCCTGGGGAGTATACAGCTCGATGCAGCCTGTTAGGTGCAAGGAAGCTAATTCAATCACAATATCCATCTCTGCCCTCACAGGTACCCATTTACTCCTGGGTGGAGAGAAACAATGAGTGACAAAGTGCCTTGCTCAAGGGCACACGCACCATGACCCCAGGCTGGACTCAAACCTACAACCTGCAGCTTTACCCACAGACCATGAATCCAATGCCCTTAACCACAAGGCCAAAGCACACCACATAGCTGCTGGCAAAACCCGACTGGGGAAACCCACAACCAACAGCGTAAAGGGTTGATTTTCTGTGCCTATAAACTCTGTATGCTTATAAACTTGTATAATTTGCATAATACTCATTTCTTCTTGTTCTCTTTATTGAGAATGACAGTACCTTTTTAGCTGCGTTAATTGATGGCGCAACATTTGACAGCGTCACAATCGGCTTCAGAATATACTCCATCAGTTTCTTTCCTGAAAACGGGAAATTTAGTCTTTTTGTTAAAAAATAAGTAAATTTGTGGTTGACATTTTCAAAGGAATTACAGGATACAATGAGCGAAGTCTGTTTCAAATGGGATGATAAACATTCGTTCAGTCAATGTACTTTTGGTTTGTCAAAGCTCGGTGATGAAAAACAGCCACAAAGAGAGGACAACCATTTAAGAAACTCACCGAAAACGTGCATTTTGCTCTTCAGAATTCCAACCTGGTTCATGGCATTGACAGTCACAGCAGCATTTTCACTTTGAACTGGTTAAACAAAAAGGTGCAAAACAAAATTTACTCCTGGCTGGAGAGAAGCAATGAGTGTCCAAATGTCATGCGCACGGACACACGCACCATGACCCCAGGTTTGACTCCAACCCATAACCTACACAATTACCAGCAGATCCTGAATACGACACTCAAGACTACATGCCACATTGTCCCACTGTTTTGTCGACCTACCTAGTTTGAGTTGGACTTGGCTGACGTTGGTCAAGGTGACAGGTTCTTTGGCACGGGGTATAGTCCAGACAGTCATGGCAGACCAGGCCTCTCCTAGATGATGCAGCAGCGTCTCTTGGTTCACTCGCAGCTCAGACTAAAACGGGGGGAAAAAAACTCTTATCAGCAATGTCTCTCTCTGGCTGGCAAAATTCAACAACGCCATCCCAACTGACCTATCGCCGTTTGTGAGTTAGCCACGCCCCTTTAGACAACCCTATGGAATATTTGTACACTACGTTTTGTTTGTCTCAGATTTTGCGAGTTCCGTGTCCATTCGTAAATCTGTAATTGGACAATATTTTGCAAGCTGCGTTGACACAATTCTACTGCAATAGGTCAATCCACGTTCTGCATCCTCACTGGCCTGCTACAAGTAAACAGACAACGGATAAGCTCCTTACCCTTAGAGCCTTGACAATTTTCAGCTCACAGTATCCGTCTTCGATGAGAACATCCAAATCAGATTTCTGCAGGAAAAAAAAGAATTGAAATACAGTAAAATCTCAATATGTCAAACTTCAAGGGAACAGGTTCAAAATTCGATTTAAGCAGAGTTTTGAGTTAGGCAGGGTTGTACATCATTGCTATACTACAGAGGGGAATGGATTCTTTGTTTGACTTATAGGGAATGTACAACATTTGCTTTTGCTTCAATTTTCAGAAACAAATGGATTTGGAGGATTAGTATGTTATGGCAAATATTGTTAAAATGACTTGTTTCATGTTTTGGGCTTATAGATGCTGAAAAAACCAAGAAAATCATTCATTTTCTTGTAGTCTGGTTCCCTGACGGTCAGACATGTCGACCGTTGAGACAACTCGACTCGGGACAAGTCGACCGTTGAGACAACTTGACCATTGAGACAACTCGACCGTATGTGTGATAAATGGAAAGACAAATCGACCGTTGAGACAAGTCAACCGTTGAGTCAAGTCGACTCACTTGTTTTTGGGCCTAGTTTTGGGGATAGTACCGGAAATTTTTGTTGCATATAAAAAAAAAACAGAGCTGATATAGCGCAGCGTGATTGTCCGTGCACATTGTCCGTTTTTCCGGGCCGCGCGCATCCCCGGTCAACGTGGCCGTACCGTGCATGGTGACATCGTTTTTGCAGGGCCTGTGCGCGCACTTATCCCTGGTCAACGTGGCCGCACTGTGCAAGGTGGCATTGTTTTTGCCAGGCCTGTAAGCCCACTTGCTGCGCCGGTCGACGTGCCCGCGTGCCGCAGGCGGGGTGCGCCGGCCCAACGCGACGGCCACCGGATCGGAGCGCGCCTCTGTGCATCGAGTATGCCAGTGCCGTGCCCGGGACTGGTCCTGCCACAGATTTATGCAACTTTTTCCGCTCCATGTGTATACATTTCCTTTGAGTCGAGCTGTCTCAACGGTCGACTTGTCTGACATTCAACTCCAGCTCTAATGCGATAGGCATTAGAGCTGAAGTTACTCAAGCTAAGTTACATCATGGGACTATGTCATTGCCAATTACCCCTAGAACTTAGCTTGAGTAACTCCAGCTGACATGCTCATAATATTCATTCACATGTAACGCTGGAGTGTGGTAGCAAGAGACCCTAAAAAAATGGCCTCTCAAAAATTGTTCATTTTCACCTCTAATATCCCACCTCGGATTTCATTTACATACCTCGTAGATTCAGCAGTCATTCACAGAGCCTAATGATCGACTTGAAACAGACCACACAAAAAAACTGTCTGGTGAGGTCAGGAAGATCACTGGTGGAGCTGTTGAGCTGGGTACTGATGTCTCCCTGAATACCAACAAAAAAAAAAGATACCAAATTGACTTCTTTTGACCATAAAAAGTAACATCTTAACCAGTTTGCATCAGAGGACGTGATAAGACGCACTGGCTGTTTTTATGCGCAGGCACGGCTGATGGATTTTCTAGGGTTTAAAGGTCAAAATTGCCTCCACTCACCTCCGGGTAACATTCTGCTTTTGCACACACACAAAAGTCTGTGAAGTCATACAGGCCAGACTGTGTGTTGATCTTGAATTGGCCGTTGTGCATGGCCAATTGTTTGACAATTTACGTTCCAGTGCACACCTCAAAGTATTGAACCATATGAGGTTTCGGCACAAAGTGGGACGCTTGGGTAAAAAGAACCCCTATGCCAAATATCAGGCCAAAATATTTCCATGAAAAAAATGCATCATTTTACCAACTTGCTGTGCTCACATTTGTATGGCCCTTAGCACAGAGATTACTCCAGTGTGTGGCCATAGAATAGGCTAGGTTTTTACCAATGGTGCAATAAGTTATAACCACAGACACCAATGCCTATCTCATCAGACAGCCCCACATACCTAGTCTAGGGGCTAGACGTTATTAAGGGAATAACAGTGTGAGGAGCCGGTCTTCACTGCGTGATAATGACCGGGTGTTGGGGTGACCGCTGTTAATGGACCGAGACGAAGTCGAGGTCCATTAACAGCGGTCACCCCCACACCCGGTCATTATCACGCAGTGAAGACCGGATCCTCACACTGTTATTCCCATTAATAAATACCTTTATAACGAAATAAACAGTTAAAATGCTCCAATTTTGTGACTTTCTTTCGGCGATATTTCCAGACTTTTTTGTGTTCATGTTCATGGGCCATATTTTAGCTTAACAGCTATAATGACGTAAACTCAACAGAAACTGCTGCCGTAGCGAAACAAATTACAACAATGTTTTCATATCTTTACCTGATGGAGGAAGCTGAAATCTCGTTTACACATTCCTTGTGCCCGGAATTACAAAGATGCTTGGTTTAGGAAAGGTAAATATGTCGCTGGGTAAAGTGTTCAAAGAAAATAAATCGTAGATCTACGTTTTCGTCGTAAACATCCTCGGAATATACTGCACTGCTGTACGATGTCGTTTCAAAACTTCCTTACGCGCGCGCACGCACGCATCCCTCGCAACTGTGTTGCGTACGCGCGCGTCAGTCTCACGCGACGGGGGTTGAGCGCATGTGCAGTGCTCGAATGTTAAAAGCTACCGCAGGACTGTTACTATATTTTGACCAATCATTGGCTTGCATGGGGCTGAACGGGGCTGGATCAATGCTGGTTCAGGGGCCATTTATTCGCTTGATCTTTGAAGCCGGTCCATTATCACCGTTAATGACCGGCCACGTGAACGAGTCTCGACCAATCAGAAACCATCAACTCTCCAAGGTATTTATTAATATGGTTTGATACGCGATAACCCCCGCAGCGATAACCCCCGCAAGAGGGAGCTCTCACTCACGACCAACCAATATCAACCACCATCAAAACTTTCTACATGCAGTTTACCATTACTTTTATATAGACATGAGGCTAGGATATTTCCAGGTTTTAGTGAAATTCATCCAATTGCCTTTAAATTCTGTTATACAAAATTACATAAAGACCCTGAGAAATCTTCACCATGGAGAACATCGTGAACTCTTAATAGAGCACAAACTGTATTATCATTATCAAGAGTTGAATGTTTAGGGAGCAAACTCACCACAAATCCAAAATGTCTTGGGAGGTTTTGGATCTCAATCTTGAAGATCTCTGAGGTGAAGTGCTGTTGTGTCAGATAGTGATAAGGATCCGTTATGGCAGCGCCAGTCACTGGTACGTCAGAGGTGCTGATGGAATGGTTATCTTGTGGGTCAAGACCTGATAGACAAAAACGAACAAATTAAAAAACCAACTCCAATCAGAGAAAATAAATTTACTTTGATTTTTTTTAAGCATGAGATATTTGTAAGTTTAATTATGAGTTTTCAAGTGAGACACTGCACAACAATATCAGTTCACACTGACAAACAGATCAATGAATTGCAAATTTTGAATAAGAAACATCCCAAAGTTGAATACTGTTAATATAGATGTACAACAATTGTACACAGTACCTGAAAAAAAATTAATGCTTTAAAATATGAACCTCTTTGTAAAGTTAGAGATAAACCTATATATAAATATCTTAATTTGGACGGTTCCCAAAAATGACCAATTTCTACATGTACAAGCTGCTGTTTTTGTGTGCGTAATTCAAAACTGCCAAGCACAAATAATGCTATGTACTATCACCATTCTGGTATTTGAACTAGAATGCTTTTCTGATACTTGATACTTTATTGATGCCTCATAATATTTTGATATTTTTATTTGCCTTTTTTAATGGGCTTTGTATTAATCAACAAAAGAATGAATCAAATTAGGTTTTGCCCTTCACCGATGTATAAACACTGTATACTCAGTGTGGTACCTCCCGAGTAAAAGTTGGAAAAAAATCACTCGGGTGGGACTCAAACCCACAACCTCCTGCTTTCTAGTGCAGACATCTTACCACTCGACCACCGAGCTGGTTGGTTCAAATCTGATGTACATAGCAGTGGGTACTGCATTAACTATTCATAAGATGGATAGTCGGTGAAGGGCAAAACCCAATTTGATTTACATCACCCGACGCAAAATTCCATCTTAAGCCGTGTCCGCACTGGACTTTTTTTTGGGAAGGTTTTACCGAGATGATGTTAAAATGAGAAATGGTCAAATGTGACCACCGTCCGCACTTGGACTTTCGACACGGCAATTTTTACCCAGACCGCGTGGGAGAAGTGGCCGAGCTGTCACAGTCACGTGCACAGGAAATAAAATGCCGATCACATTTTTTTTCAGCCCCCGATACGCACAGTATAATATTACACACACCATTAACATACGATGTTATTTCATCTTGACACGATAAATCTTGACAAAAATGCCTACTATTCTGACGCATTTGTGATGGACGACATCGAAGCCATGCGGCAGCAGTTCCATCGGTAATCGCTGGTTCCCACCGCATGCTAACAGAATCAAAGCTATGATGTAGGACCGGAACCAGGGACTGCGGCCTACGTACGGTGCCATGCAGACTACACGGCGTAACAGGACGAATTTGGATCGTAGAAAATACAAAACAAACATTGGTGGAGAAAAAGAATAACTGCAAAGCATTTCCCAGAACGTGATCTTGATATTTTCTGTGAATGTATTCTCCGTTAAAATATATTTATAACGAGATTTTACCGCTCGGACTTGACACACCGCAGCGTACCGGTACGTGTTTCCACAAAATGTTCGGCCACATCACGTGTGGGATCGTGCGGTCTCTGTATGCATGATACTCGCACTCGGGCCGGATCTCACTTTCCTGAGCCGCTTTTACCGACTTGCACTGTCCGCACTGGACTTATCGTCTCGGGAAAAGTGACCTGGTCAATTTTCCTGGGCGCGTGGTCAGTTTTCCTGGGCAGCAATTGGCCAGTGAAAGTAACCGCTGGACTCAGGAAAAGTAACTGAGAGGAAAACGTCCTAGGCTGTCCGCACTGGACTTAAAATGGGAAAAGTACCCATAGTCTCGGTAAGTTTGACCAAAAAAAGTCCAGTGCGGACAAGGCTTTATAAAAGAATGAATGTTTTAAGATATGAATGGCTTTGTAAACTTTGCATTCATTCATCAGAAATTCACAAGTTTGTCAAGCCCCCTAGGACCATCTTCAAGTGGAATGACGTGGATGAATCCAAGCTGAAAAAATCTGTCCTCGAGCTTAAGACTGAATTCATGCAGTCATCTCCAGAAACCAGAACAGTTGAGGCAAATTGGAGTATTTTTAGGGACAGGCTGAAAACTAACGAATTAGTACCACAAAAACCAGTCCAGGGACATTCTAGACCCTCATGGCTCACTACTGTCCTAATCCGTTGCTGCAGGAAGAAAGAGCGCAGCTATGTGAAGGCAGTAACAAGCGGTCTACATTCAAACTTTTGCAAAAGCAAGTGAACAGCGAAATCCGAAGGGCTAAACGCACACATTTACAAGAAACTACATCTACAGATAACCGCCAGAAATTTTGGCGATACGTAAACAGCACTCGCAAAGACAACACAGGGGTTCAGGTTCTAAAACTCAACGGGAAAAATATCACATCTGACCAAGAAAAAGCTGAAACCCTACAAGACCAATTCTGTAGTGTTTTCAGCAGGGATGACACCGATGTGCAGCCAGTTCTACCACCGAGTCCCTACTCAGACTTGACAAACATCACCGTGTCTGTTAGCGGAGTCCTCAAGTTACTGACGTCGCTCAACTTGAAACTAGCTGCCAATGAAGTTGCCCCAGTACTCGCATTCATATTCCAACAATCACTTGACCTGGGTTCTCTACCATCTGACTGGAAGAAAGCCAACGTAACACCCATTTTTAAGAAAGGCTCTCGTGCAGACCCGGCAAACTACAGACCTGTGTCATTGACCTCTGTTTGCTTTAAGTTATTAGTGCACATCATTGATAGCCAATAAATGAAACACCTCCAGGAACACGACATCCTGAATGAAAACCAACATGCTTTTCGTAAAGGCCTGTCCTGCAAATCCCAACTCGTAACAACTCTGGATGACATCTCCTACAATTACAATAATCAAATCACCACAGAAATGGCAGTACTTGACTTCTCCAAAGCATTCAACATAGTTTCTCATCAAAAACTGGTCCAAACATTAGACTACTACGGGATAAGTACTGACCATCGGTTAGTAATCTGCAACCTGAAGTGGAAATTCCGTCGTCATGCTACTGCATGTGGACTACGACCTCAACATCCAAACGTTGAAGCCCTGAAGTCGGAACAATCGTCTGAACTCTTTCGGCAGCTGGTTCGATCCCGTGTTACTCAAGGTGACTCTCTTGAAGCTGTCGCATGTGTCATACACGAAGCATCTCTTGGGACCTGTGGTACACAAACATCCCAGAAGAAACAGCCGTACCTGTCTGAATTAACTCTTCATCTGATTCAGCGCAAGAGGAAGGCTGTAGGCACTCAAGAATTCACAGCTCTGAGGAATGAGGTCAAACATGCATGCCAGAAAGATCTCAACGAATGGTTGGTAACTAATATCAACACATTGAACCAAGCATACCAGAATCACAATTGCAGAACTCTGTTCAAAACTGCTGATGTTCTCCTTCAGAAAACGGTCTGGTATTGGAGACAGCTGAAGAAGAAATACAGCGTTGGCATCAGTATGCTGTAGATCTATTTGAGTCCAATCGGCCACGTCCACCCCATCACACAACTGAGGTTGAACGAAACCTGCCGACACCGGAAGAGACCAAGAAAGCCATACAGGCACTGAAAAACCACAAGGCTCCCGGAGTTGATTGCGTCACATCTGAAGCTCTTAAAGCTGCGACACAGGACCCAGAGATATTCAAAACCCTTCATGGGGCCGTGTGTAACATCTGGAACTCTGCAAAGTGGCCACAGTCGATGACCAAGTCAGTGTACATCCCGTTGCACAAAAAGAGTGACCGAGGCTTGTGCAACAACTACAGAACACTTGCACTAATCAGTCATGCCAGCAAAATTGTTCTGAATGTGATACAACGCAGACTGGAAAGAACCGCTAACATCGAAGTGAGTGACACCCAATGTGGCTTTGTAAGCGGTAAAGGCACAACTGATGGAATCTACCTCCTGAAAGGTGTGGCGGAATCGCACTACGCAGGAAAACGCCCTCTCCATCTGGTCTTTGTTGACTATAAGAAGGCATTTGATTCAGTTAATCATGCACTTCTGTTTGCAAAGCTACGATATCTTGGCATGGAGGAGGATGTGATGCGGCTACTTGAGGATCTTTACATCAACTCAAATGGCAAGCTCCGGTGGAAAGGTCGGATGACAGACGGCACAAATACCTCGTGTCACATCTTTCAAGTATCTAGGAGTGTTGATCGACCACACACTAGACGACAGCAAGGAGGTTCGGATGCGGTTAGGTATGGGCAGATCCACTCTTCGGCAGTGCAAGTATCTGCGCTCCCCCCACATCAGCCTTGAGGTAAAGGTACAGCTTGCTCGGGCCCTAGTCATATCAAGGGTACTGTATGGTGCCACCACCCTGTCGTTGAAGGCAGCTGACATCAAACGCCTAGACAGTTTTGGCCGAACCATTTGGCGTCACCTGCTCAACATCAAGTGGCAAGATCATGTGACAAATGAAAGACTGATGGAGGTGATCGGCGACCGGTGGTGCTTCAGCAGTGATGGAACGAAAGGCAGCATGGTTGGGCCATGTGGTCCGGCATGGCAGCATCTGTTGTGGATGGGATGCCAGTGGGATGTCGTCGCTCCGTGGGCCGGCCAAAGATGCGCTGGGTGGACAACATCCGTGAATGGTCTGGGTGTGACACCAACGAACTGAAAGCAGCAGCACTGGAAAGACGGGCTGTGGTGGGAGCGGCGCCAGTGATCCCAACTGTGTATAATTTGAGGAGGAGACCACGGGCAAATGCCTATGTCTAACGAATGAATGAATGGGATAAGGGGAAAAACACAGAGATGGCTCATAGAATTCACAACCACCAGTTCACAGAAATTGCAGCAAGGACAGACATCTATATGCAGTCATTCCTACCCAGAACTATCCGGAAATGGAACAAGCTCCCTCAAGACACCACAGACGCTCCAAACCACAACACCTTTAAGGATTTAATTTAGTTCCACTTCCCCAAGGCCTCCTTGCTAGACTTCCACGTGGAGTATTCAGGATAACCACCAAAGACCAAGTACAGGTGCAATATTTTTATGAAATTGAACCCTCATTCCCCCAATTTATAAAAATTACCTGGAAAGCAACAAAACTATCTTGCAGCAAAATTAATTTCACTGGGTTAAAGTATTAAGTTTCCAATAAGCAAGAATGGACAAAATAACATGAATGAGATTACACTTAGGCGGGCGGGCTAAATACCCCCTGTTCATTTACTGTGGGATGGTATTGTTATTGGGGAAGTGTGGGACCCTTCAAGCCAAAGCGGGAGACGGTCCACGCATGAACGCACACGGTATAGCCGTGCATGGTGACGGTTTGCAGTGGGGCTTGTATGTTTAGGGCAGACAAAAGATCAGAGGATTAGCAATGTACCAGGTCTTTGCGGTTGGTGAGTAGAAGCCGCCACTGATGGGTATGAAACCGCAGGATTCATTGTTATAAAAATGGTTATTTGTAGCGGGAGCCGGGAGTGCTAACCGTGGGACGGTTTGTAGAAACAGGTCACCCGCTTTCTTTTCAAGCGGGAGCCGATAAAAGAGGGGCTCAATTGAAAGCGGCTCCCGGTAAGTGAACAGGGGGTATTTAGCCTGTCCGCCTTAGCTGACCTCGCAAAGGAGCAAACGTCCTCACCAAGTAAAAGAATAACAAGTCACCTTTGGATTTGTCCTCCTCATCTTCATTGGGAATAGCATCCATAGTGATGGCCACATCTGTTGGCATCTTGACAACATCACCCTCTGTAACTGTGGTTGACGTTACCTCCCCAGTTGGGACATCATCAGAAGTTGGTCCCTGCTTCTCATCCATTTTGGTGTTATTACGTTGGACCAAAAACACACTGGAAATATAAAGAAACTGCACATAAAGCAGTTGTATACTATTGAAAGCCATGACCAGTGGGATATCTAGGGGGAGGGGTCAAAATTTGTCCCTGCTAATTTTGACTTTTTAGGACATATCATTTTCTGATGGCTGATAGGTCATTTAAGGGAAAAATTACGGCGATCGTGAAGTGTAGGGCCCCCGTTTTGTTTTGATCAAATTAGAATCGAAAATGTTTTTTATTGCTCAAAACTCACCTTTACAATCAAAAGCAGCCTTTTCTCAATTCTAATAACACCCATTTTACAATTTTGAACAGATTCTTGGGGTAGAAATCACGGTTTTCCTGCGCGGTTTGTACCTTGGGATTCAGCGCGCCTTGCATGCTCACGGAACATCGCGCGGTGATTGCCATCTCAAATTTCGGGTCGCATGTTGTCGCCGCGCCGTCATTGTCATTTTACCCCCAAATTTCCCTCAAAACATCAAAACCCTGCCCTCTATCTATGACAAACCTGTTTATTGAGAATGTTGCAAACTATTATGGTAGGTCAAATAATTTTTAAGTGGATTTTGTTCCCCAAGTTATAGGAACCGGGCCCTGCACTTCACGATGGCCGAAGTATTAACTCAACTGTAGCTGGAGTTACCCAGCCCTAAATTTTATCATTGGGTTGTCATCTAGATGACAACCCAATGATACCCAATTGGGTGCTGGGTAACTCCAGCTAACTCAACTGAGAAAACACTTAAAAATTTTCAGACCAGTCTCAAAGGGTTTGTGCACAGGGTGGCAAGTGATGGCCAGATATGGGAATCTTTCCTTTAACCCTAACTCCCTAGGCCATTTTGCTAGGATGTAGCCTCAATCCTGCAAAATCCTCCAATTGGCCTCATGGAAAAATAGCATATAGCCTCAATCCTGCAAATTCCTCCGCTATTTCTTGAATATGGTCCATGGAGGGGTGACCACTGCCTGAATCCTGCAAAATCCTGCGGCAGTGACTGTCAATAGGCTGAGGCAGAGGCAGTGACATCCTGGAGCAGTGCGGAGGATGTCAAGTATAATCAAGGACTAAATTTATGCACGGCTGAGCATTTACAACACAAGGTCCGGCCCAAGACCTTGACACAGTGCGTACTCCGAAATCAGCAACGCACTTTTGCCATGTAACCTCAATCCTGCAAATTCCTCCAATTTGCAAAAAGGATTTTGGAGGATTCAGGGCGGTTAGGGTTAATGTTAATTGTTATTGTTAATTAAGCATCTCAAACTTTTCACGAATGAGATACCACGCTATTGAATACAAATAATAAACGCAGTGGGATGGAACGCCGTATTATCGCGGTACTTATCACGTTTCTCGTTCGGAATAGAGATTGCCCACTAGCCTTCCAGAATTGTCCTGTCTTATGTGTAGTATAACTCTTCCTTTTTAAATTAATATAAAAAAATCTGACGGGTGGTGTGGTTTATTCCGTGTACGATGCCTGTGAAAATAGACATGCGCGGCGTGTGCGAACGGAGGTGGACTCCCTATTATCGCGGTATGCGGGAAGTGGTTTTTATAATGATCCCAACTTTTTTGTTCATAGTTTATCTTTGACCAAAACACCCCCTGAATAAAGTCTGATGTTTTTCCTGTAACGTTCAAGTTGATTAAAGACAAATTTTCTGCAGGATGATTTCTTAAGACCCTGCCCTTCCCCCGAAAGGAGAACACAAATCCCTGAGGCAAGTCTACTGATCGGCGATTGAGGGCGCCATTCACTTTACACGGTGTGCCGTTTTATTTTCGCTAACGGGCGGTGCTTATTTTGATCCCGTAAAAGTTGTTACGATTTCGCGCTGCAAATATCGTCGTTCGACTTCATTTTACATTTGCAGCTGAAGAATGGGAGCCAGACAATGGAACTTTCATGGACAGAGCGCAATTAAAGATTTATGTTAAAATATAAACGGTACCTTTTAGCAGACATGGTGAGGGAAAATTTTGCAAGTTTTGGAAAACGTTAATATTTATTAAAATCGTTAAAAGTCCCGAAAGACACAACATTTTTTAATCGTCCTTTTTATATATTTCGGTAGAAAATCCTTGATGACTGGTGAAATGGATAAAAATCGCCACTTGAAGGAGTTTTGACACTGTAAAAAGAGAAATTTCCCATGCCGCGATAATAGGGATGCCGCGATAATAGGGAGTCCGACTATACGTCTATCAAACTCAAAGTATCATGTCCGATATGGCCACTTTTTGCAGTACGTTTCAGTTTCACTAAATAAAATAATGCAGATTTCACCAATAGCTAATATAAACAACTAAATTAATGTTATCATTTATTAAATGGTTAGATAAAATTATCTACTGATACTGACCAAGAAAGTGACACAGGCAACAGGTTTCGGCCACTCGGAAGAAAGCGCCAGATTTACAGTCGCGTGTTTATGTTGTTGAATGCTGCCCTCATGTGTCGTTCGATTGGCATGCAAGCTCTTTCGAAACATCGGCCTCCATCGCAGGTCGCTACTGCTTCAGCTTCATATATTGAACTGGTATCCTTTTTTTTTAACGAGACGCATACGTCTTCCATAACGGAAGCTCAACAATATTTATTTGTCTATTATTATTTGACAACTCACGCTTTCTGGGTAGCTGTGTGGAAATTTCATAATCTTCTTAAATTTTTATAGTAGACGAAGCCGCAGCTGGGAATGAATCGAATTTTTAAAAACTCTTTAAACCCATGTTCTCTTTTTTTTCTGGAGGGCTAGGCCGGCGCTGTTTACGCAACTCAAGTAAGTTTCCACAGGGAGAAATGGCTTTAACTTTAAGGGAAATAAATAAGCTGTTTACGCTGAACACTAGTTTTTCAGTTTTTCCCCTTGACCAGTTTGAGTGGCTCTTCACCAAGGTAATGAAAGTCGAAGGAGCGTCAATAGAGCTAGAGAGGGGCTATGTGCAAATATTATGTTGGACATTTTACAAATCCCCGGGAGCATCAAACTAGGCCTATATCTATACTAATAAAAAAGTAATAATATAGCAGTGTTGAACCCACCGTACAGGAGCGACACAAAATATTGAATTCTACTTCGAATGCTGGAGGGAACTATATGCTTAAATGTTTCCAGTGACGGGTGCATATGTATAAGTAAACACTAAATGAAATGTTTTTTGTGGCTATAACTTTGCCAATAGAAATAATTATTAACAGACTTTTGTCTAAAAACTGTTGAGATACTTTGGACAGTATTTTTACCTATGAAATATAAATGAGGTTGATATTTGTTTCACACGAAGTAAAGAATAATAAAAAAAGACTGCCGAAAAATTTAAATTGATTAAACACGGCGTCACTGTAGCTCACCTATTATTACTGCATTTCACTGCCAACCTGGTTCGCTACAGTGGTGAAGCAACAACTCACAAATAATTAAGATACCTAAAGTAGTCAAAACAAAACTAGAAAGACACAACATTTTTTAATCATCCTTTTTATACAACTCGGCAGAAAGTCCTTAATGCCTGGTGAACTGGATAAAAATCGCCACTTGAAGGAGTTTAGGCAACACAAAAAGAGAAATTTCCCATTCCACGATAATAGGGATGCTGCGATAATAGGGAGTCCGACTAAACTTTAAAAATATAGCAACGGCATACTAAAGTTATATTGCAAATGTTTCTATTTTGGGAGAATCTGTATACATTTGTAAAATGTTATGTAATTGGCACACGGATGATTTTCAGCAAAACATTCTAACTAAGCTTCTTAGACTTTCGACAAAAGTATATTATAATATTTGTGGATTTATTTTATTTACCTCCTATTTTCAATTATGATATGATTTTAAATATTATGCATGCAGTTGTTTTTACCAAAATGGAAAGAAATTCATTTATTTCATATATAACCAAACGCGCATTTAATAACAATGTCGGATGACAAATCCACATTGGTTTAGGAAGTAGGACACAATGGAGACTTTCGTGGCAGCCAATTTGACTCATCTGCAGACGATGACGTTCTTGGTGCTTCCTTGACGTTCGATATTGTTCAAATTATTTTTCTATGTAGTTAATATTAGTCATTCTTTCAATGTTAAAGTCCACAACTGTGTAGGATTTAGTTTATGCAAGAAAAAAATTGGTCCAAGTACTAAGTGCGCAAAAAATGGCCAATGTTTTTCTACATCACTACCTCGTGTTGGTTCAGCATCAGAGGTGACGGAATGTTGCAACCTAACGCTGCTTTTTCCTTCGTATATCATCTCAATGAAGGTCAGTAATTGCAAAAATGATGATATATTGATAAGACATGAATCTTGGACTGAGAAACATTTCCAATTTTGTTAGGAAATACTTAAAAAAATTCTTGACTCTCCATAGACTTTGTACACAACTGCAGAAGTAGCGTCAGGTTGCAACATTCTTTCCGAGGTGACTGCTGGCTCTCCAAGAAAGCCTTCTAAAACCTCTTCCACAGCCTCAAAAGAGATCCCATCTGCGAGTGGTTTCTTTGTTAAATGTTTTATGCCTGGTTTTTATGAACTGCCACTTTCAAAACTGCTGTGAAGATTTGGATTTGAGTAGAAAATGAGATTTCTACTGATTTCATTGGCGTAGCCATTTTATAACATTTTTTTGACATCATACATGTTAACTTGACAGTTTTTCTCAATTGTTTTTTTCGCAACTGTAGGCGCATCCATCAGTGCAGACGAAAGGCGCTGAGGCAGACTGGACGCCCATACAATGCACAGACAGGGAGTGTAGCCACTCCTTGATGAAGGCTCCGCATCTGCACTGTCCATTCTGCTCCCAGGACAGTCTCTTCACTGAGGAGATTCTCCTCAAGGCGCACTACGTACAGGGTCAAGTACGTGGATAAAGGCATCAACTTTGGGGGTGAGTTTGGGAACAAGACCAAGTGCACCAGACTTTTCCAACTGATGCGCACTGTGCTGCATGTGGCAGGGTTAGGGTTAATTATAAAGGTAAGTTGAAGGTAGTGGACAGCAGGACAAGGTAGTGGCATTTGTGGGAGTTTTATGAAATTGACAGATACCTGGGCTGGTTATTCTTAGCAGATATCAGTGTTCGATAAACTCCCTGTAGAGGGGTGTTTCAAAAAAGCATGAAGTGAACTTGTTGAACAAAATCTGGGGGTTTTTTTACCGAAAAGTTTTGACTCAAGTATCCATTCTTTTGAGAATGATTAGACACACCTTTTTGGTTTAAGTGTTTGAAAGTGCACTTATTTTTAACCTTCACAGTTTCAGTGCTGCTTCAAGACAACTGAGTATGCCGTTGCTGTGATGTAATGGTCCCCTTGTACAATCTGAATGAAAAAAAAAACATGGAATAAATTTAATCAGTTGAAATTTATGTACCTTGTGAGCAGGTGTGGTAGTTCTACAAGGATTTGGGTGGATTATGTCAAATGCCAACACTTCGTGCCTTTTAAAATAATTAATTGTGAACCTAATTTTATCACTGTATGTTTGTGTCGTAAATTGAATCTTTTGCTACCTTACAGGTTTAAGTCTCATTTTATCAACCTTAACGACTGCACTCCACCATTTTTACCCAGGATGTCAACCAGATCTTCACCACATACACTGACCCAGCACCCAACAGTACCAGCCTGGTAACACACCTCATAGTCCCCCAGTCACAGCAGCCATCGGAGACAGACACATCATCCCCGGGGCTATGAGCAGACTGATGGGCAGCAGCCGCAGATCGAGTACCAGTATGCCTGCATCAATGATCCGAGTCAGAGCACTGCCAATGGGGAAGGTAAGATGGTAAGAATATTAACCCTGACCCTCCAAGAATCCTTCAGCATCTACGCAGAGGTTAAGGTGGATAATGCCACCAGCAGTGAAGGATAATTAGAAGAAGCTGACCAAAAAGCCAAGGGGGAGGCATTTGATGCAAGGAAGAACTCTTCCCCCCCCCACCCCCCCCCCCCCCACTTTGTTTTCCATTGATATATCGTGAATCCATATGGAAGAAGGGAATGGGTAGACAACAGCATGTTTAATACAGTTGTCTTCACTCCTGCACTTGTTTGGTCAATAAAATAAATAAAACAACAACCAAAAGTTCAGCATTTTTTTAGGGGGTTGGGGTGGATGAGGGCCAATATTGACAGTGGATTTTACAAATTGAAATTACAAGGTGCAAAGGGTGTGCCATTGGCGTTATTTAAGTTGATTGAATTTTGGAGGATTCAGGAAGGTTCTAAGCAACAAAAAAAATCTAATAAGTCAGGGTGGCAGTACATTTTGAGAGCTGACTTCAACAATTAATTAAATATTGGCATTTGTCCTTCACCTTGCCCACCTAATGTTAGGAATACGGTTTGAAAAAGTGAGTGATTGCTTGCACCCAGTTACAAGGAATTACATGTTCTTGACACACTGCATCACTTTGGACTTTCTTGCCTGTATCCTGTTTTTACCGCTACATATCATCTGTCCCATTCAAGCGCAACATATATGTCGACCTTTCTACTCCATAAACTCCTCCCATCATTTCCCCTCTTTGTGTAGCCCACACCTGGAGTGACCTTTTGATGACCGACTTTCATTATTACAGGAATCATTATTCAGGATAATTACTCAACCTTTCCCTCTCGTAAACAGTTGTCCTTATTGAAATACCAGATGAAGGAAGCAAAGAGGATTTGGAGGACGAGACTTGCTACACAGAGCACAACTTGTCGCTGCTGCTGCAGGAGAAGGAAAGTCTGGAGAAGACTCTTGAGGAGGAGCGGACCACGTGGGCCCAGACAGAGCACAGAATGAAAGGTACTATAGAAAGGCTTCGTACAAAGGTGAGTGGGCATTCCATCTGGTCTTGGTCTAAGAATGAGTTTGGATCTTGTTCCCTGCATGCAACAGGTACCAAGGGCGTCAATCGCTTCTCAAAAGTGGGAGGGGGGACATACCTTGATCAGAACTAATGCAGGCACACTAATGCGACTGCGTTCTTTCAGTGGTCAGATTTCTGTCAGGATGCCAGCTGTCATGGCTGTGGGCGATCATGGTGTGCACTGTTGTTGTCATTGCTCTACATTTTCTACACGTTCTACGTTGTTTTATGCGCTGACGCTGCTTATGATAAATGCAGACAAATTGTTGCACACATTTTGTACACAAGCTCAGATGTGTCGTTTATCCTTGTGTAGAGGATTCGTGGTTTCACTCAAACTCTAGTTGCACTAAATAACTGGGTAACAACACATGTGCCTTCTTAAGCATTCATGCTCCACCTGCACACATCATGAAGTGCATAAATGTCAGACTTTGGTGTGCGCTGTCATGGTTGTGATTGGTTACACATCATGGGGCAGAGCCTAATGGATTGGTCTGTTAAAATTCCATCTGTAAACAAATAATTTCTCTGCCCATCCGTCTTGCCCTCCAGGTTGAGTATTTGTCCAACACAAACATGTCACTCAAGCAGCAGCTGTCCATGATTCACACGTCCAGTTTGAAACATCTAACCAACGACAGTGAGAACCAGTCCATTTTGCAAGAGTTACTGCAACACATGTCTGAGGAGCACACCCAGTTGCTGCACCACCATCTAGCACAGCTACGACTGTACGCTCAGGCCTGCGCATTATCCAAATCAGCCCCCGAGGAATCTGCAGCTGAATCTACAGTCTTGGTACCAGACCTGGCTGACCAATCACAGGACATCTCACACATGGCCATGATGTCGTCCTCGGAGGGCACCCTTGGGAACATGGAGCAGACAGTCGTCATGACGATAACGTCTGAGGAGGATTCGGAGCCGTCGGCAACATCGTGGATAACCCCGGAGATACTGTGGGACATGACTCCTTGACTTTGGATAAGGACGTTCACTTGTCACCAAATGACATTCTGTACCAACTGACAAGCGAGGGACTGTCATCAAGACATGCCACCTCTGAGTCGGGTCACGTTTATCAATCAGGTAGAACTCATTCACATCACAACACAGGCTGTGATGTCACGCAACAGGATTTTCACAAGAACAAAAGTTGAAAATTGGTTCTTTCCAACAGCATGCCAAAAATATTCTGCCCCGATGGCTTTGACAAAAGAACGTTTGATGACAACATGTCAAATGAGGGACCACCATTAAAATGTGGGAGAACTAACAGCCTGAAAGCCACTTAACTAAATAAAACCGGACATATTTTGTAAACAGTGTACACTCAGTGTTGTCCGAGGGCTTAGTTGGGGGGGGGGGGGGGGGGACTTGAACTAATGAGTTGAGTCTTCATGGAAGTTTGTCTTACCTGAATGAAAAATTTTACCAAAGCAACTGGCCTTGGTCTCTCCTATCTTTTCGAGTTCTCGATGGGCAATCCCGAATCCGCTCAGTGAATGGGCGTCGTTGTAGGCCCAAACAGATCCATGTAGGTCCTCAAATCTATTACTGAAACATAAACGATGCAATTATGATTAACATTGAAACATTTGGTCGTATGTATAAAAACTAGCATTTGCTTTTTTTTTTACTACATATTTTTAAGCATAACTTTTATTTGCATGAATAAAAATGAGAGCAAATGCTTTCACTATTTGCTTCAAGCTAAAAGTATTTGCTTTTTTACTTTTTGGCTTTTGCTAGACTAGAAGTGTGGACTGGTTTCAAACTTGAAAAAAATATAAATTTCAATTGACCTCAAAATTAATAAAATTTTAAAATCTAAAACTCCAACTGTGGGACTTGAACCAGCAACCTTCAGAAGTTCAGATTTAGGGTCATCAGTCCGTATTACTTGATTAAACACAACTTCACACTATTTTGTGGTTACAAAATTAACTGTAAAGTTTCAATTGACCTAAAAAGTAGTAAAATTTTGAAATCTAAAATTCCCAGCGTGGGAATGAACCTGCAACCTTTAGATTTAGAGTCAGCAGTCTGAACCACTGCACTAAGCATAATTTCATGCTTTTTAGTGGTTACGGAATTAACTATCAAGTTTCAATTTACCCAAAAGAAATAAAACTTTAAAATCTAAAATTCCCACCCTGGATTTGAACCCACAACCTTCAGATTTCAAGTCAGCAGTCCATACCCTTGGACTAAGCATAATTTCACACTTTTTAGTGGTTACGAAATTAACTATGAAGTTAAATTTACCCCAAAAGACATAAAATTTCAAAAAACAAAACTCCACCCCTGGATTTGAACCCACAACCTTCAGATTTCAAGTCAGCCGTCCGTACCATTGGACTAAGCATAATTTCACACTTTTTAGTGGTTACAAAATTAACTATCAAGTTTAAATTTACCCCAAAAGAACTAAATTTTAAAATCTAAAATTCCCCCCCTGGAATTGAACCCGCAACCTTCAGATTTCAAGTCGGTAGTCCATACCATTGGACTAAGCCTAATTTCACACTTTTTAAAGGTTACGAAATTAACTATAATGTTTTAATTTACCCAAAAAAGTAATAAAATTTTAAAATCTAAAATTCCCACCCTGGAATTGAACCCACAACCTTCAGATTTCGAGTCAGTAGTCCATACCATTGGACTAAGTGTAATTTCACGATTTTTAAATGTTACGATATTAACTATGAAGTTTCAATTTGGCCAAAAATAAATAAAATCTAAAATCTAAAATTTCCAACCTGGATTTGAACCCGCAACCTTCAGATTTAGAGTCAGCAGTCCATACCATTGGACTAAGCATAATTTCACACTTTTTAGTGGTTATGAAATTAACTATAAAATTTAAATTTACCCTAAAAGACATACAATTTTAAAATCTAAAATTTCCACCCTGGATTTGAACCCACAAGCTTCAGATTTAGAGTCAGTAGTCCATACCATTGGACTAAGCATAATTTCACACTTTTTAGTGGTTACGAAATTAACTATGAAGTTTAAATTTACCCAAAAAGACATAAAATTTTAAAATCTAAAATTTCCACCCTGGATTTGAACCCACAACCTTCAGATTTAGAGTCAGTAGTCCATACCATTGGACTAAGTGTAATTTCACAATTTTTAAAGGTTACGATATTAACTATAATGATTTAATTTACCCAAAAAGTAATAAAATTTTAAAATCTAAAATTCCCACCCTGGAATTGAACCCACAACCTTCAGATTTCAAGTCAGCAGTCCATACCATTGGACTAAGCATAATTTCACACTTTTTAGTGGTTACGAAATTAACTATGAAGTTAAATTTACCCCAAAAGACATAAAATTTCAAAAACCAAAACTCCACCCCTGGATTTGAACCCACAACCTTCATATTTCAAGTCAGCCGTCCGTACCATTGGCCTAAACATAATTTCACACTTTTTAGTGGTTACAAAATTAACTATCAAGTTTAAATTTACCCAAAAAGAACTAAATTTTAAAATCTAAAATTCCCCCCCTGGAATTGAACCCGCAACCTTCAGATTTCGAGTCAGTAGTCCATACCATTGGACTAAGCCTAATTTCACACTTTTTTAAAGGTTACAAAATTAACTATCATGTTTTAATTTACCCCAAAAAGTAATACAATTTTAAAATCTAAAATTCCCATCCTGGATTTGAACCCACAACCTTCAGATTTAGAGTCAGCAGTCCATACCATTGGACTAAGCATAATTTCACACTTTTTTGTCGTTACGAAATTAACTATAAAATTTAAATTTACCCAAAAAGACATACAATTTTAAAATCTAAAATTTCCACCCTGGATTTGAACCCACAACCTTCAGATTTCGAGTCAGTAGTCCACACCATTGGACTAAGTGTAATTTCACAATTTTTAAATATTACGAAATTAACTATGAAGTTTCAATTTACCCAAAAATAAATAAAATCTAAAATTTCCAACCTGAATTTGAACCCGCAACCTTGAGATTTAGAGTCAGCAGTCCATACCATTGGACTAAGCATAATTTCACACTTTTTTGTCGTTACGAAATTAACTATAAAATTTAAATTTACCCAAAAAGACATAAAATTTTAAAATCTAAAATTTCCACCCTGGATTTGAACCCACAACCTTCAGATTTCGAGTCAGTAGTCCATACCATTGGACTAAGTGTAATTTCACAATTATTTAAAGGTTATGATATTAACTATGAAGTTTCAATTTACCCAAAAATAAATAAAATCTAAAATCTAAAAACTCCAACCTGGATTTGAACCCACAACCTTCAGATTTCGAGTCAGTAGTCCATACCATTGGACTAAGTGTAATTTCACAATTTTTAAAGGTTACGAAATTAACTATGAAGTTTAAATTTACCCAAAAAGACATAAAATTTTAAAATCTAAAATTTCCACCCTGGATTTGAACCCACAACCTTCAGATTTCGAGTCAGTAGTCCACACCATTGGACTAAGTGTAATTTCACAATTTCTAAAGGTTACGAAATTAACTATAATGTTTTAATTTACCCAAAAAAGTAATAAAATTTTAAAATCTAAAATTCCCCCCCGGAATTGAACCCACAACCTTCAGATTTCGAGTCAGTAGTCCATACCATTGGACTAAGTGTAATTTCACCATTTTTAAATGTTACGAAATTAACTATGAAGTTTCAATTTACCCAAAAATAAATAAAATCTAAAATTTCCAACCTGGATTTGAACCCGCAACCTTCAGATTTAGAGTCAGCAGTCCATACCATTGGACTAAGCATAATTTCACACTTTTTAGTGGTTACAAAATTAACTATCAAGTTTAAATTTACCCATAAAGAACTAAATTTTAAAATCTAAAATTCCCCCCCTGGAATTGAACCCGCAACCTTCAGATTTCGAGTCAGTAGTCCATACCATTAAACTAAGCCTAATTTCACACTTTTTTAAAGGTTACAAAATTAACTATCATGTTTTAATTTACCCCAAAAAGTAATACAATTTTAAAATCTAAAATTCCCATCCTGGATTTGAACCCACAACCTTCAGATTTAGAGTCAGCAGTCCATACCATTGGACTAAGCATAATTTCACAATTTTTAAATATTACGAAATTAACTATGAAGTTTCAATTTACCCAAAAATAAATAAAATCTAAAATTTCCAACCTGAATTTGAACCCGCAACCTTCAGATTTAGAGTCAGCAGTCCATACCATTGGACTAAGCATAATTTCACACTTTTTTGTCGTTACGAAATTAACTATAAAATTTAAATTTACCCAAAAAGACATAAAATTTTAAAATCTAAAATTTCCACTCTGGATTTGAACCCACAACCTTCATATTTCGAGTCAGTAGTCCATACCATTGGACTAAGTGTAATTTCACAATTTTTAAAGGTTATGATATTAACTATGAAGTTTCAATTTACCCAAAAATAAATAAAATCTAAAATCTAAAATTTCCAACCTGGATTTGAACCCACAACCTTCAGATTTCGAGTCAGTAGTCCATACCATTGGACTAAGTGTAATTTCACAATTTTTAAAGGTTACGAAATTAACTATGAAGTTTAAATTTACCCAAAAAGACATAAAATTTTAAAATCTAAAATTTCCACCCTGGATTTGAACCCACAACCTTCAGATTTCGAGTCAGTAGTCCACACCATTGGACTAAGTGTAATTTCACAATTTCTAAAGGTTACGAAATTAACTATAATGTTTTAATTTACCCAAAAAAGTAATAAAATTTTAAAATCTAAAATTCCCCCCCGGAATTGAACCCACAACCTTCAGATTTCGAGTCAGTAGTCCATACCATTGGACTAAGTGTAATTTCACCATTTTTAAATGTTACGAAATTAACTATGAAGTTTCAATTTACCCAAAAATAAATAAAATCTAAAATTTCCAACCTGGATTTGAACCCGCAACCTTCAGATTTAGAGTCAGCAGTCCATACCATTGGACTAAGCATAATTTCACATTTTTTAGTGGTTACGAAATTAACTATGAAGTTTAAATTTACCCAAAAAGACATAAAATTTTAAAATCTAATATTTCCACCCTGGATTTGAACCCACAACCTTCAGATTTAGAGTCAGTAGTCCATACCATTGGACTAAGTGTAATTTCACAATTTTTAAAGGTTACGAAATTAACTATAATTCATTTTATCACTGAAAGATAAAATACATTATTCTCCACGAACACACGGCTGGCTGAGTTTCAAACTCTCTGTTAATCAGCGGATGGTTGCTATGGTATGGAATTAGTTAACATTTTGATTGCCCAAATTGCAGCTGGCCATCCATTGCTGGCATCAAGCCAAAAGTGCTGTTCA